CTACAGTATTATGTTTCTGGATTTCATTATACCACCGCTCCTTGCCAACCTGGAGGCATATGAGCCTTGAAAAAGCAATGGCCAGTTGCCTAAGTCTCAGCCAGGTCTCTGGTCAGTGGAGGATGAAGAGAAACTTTTTCCTTTGTACCCCAGGAAGCTGTAAACATATTTTAACACCTGTTGTCTTCACCAGGTCTGCCTTGTATATCCTGCAGTCACAGAGAGCTTCTATATGACCCTTCCACTTTCCCATGCAAAAACAAAAAGTTTCAGTTCCATCTTGGCAAGAATGCAACAGTTCTTCTGCATTTTCTCTCTTTGTTTTCTTTTTCTTTCTTTCTTTCTTTCTTTCTTTCTTTCTTTCTTTCTTTCTTTCTTTCTTTCTTTCTTTCTTTCTTTCTTTCTTTCTTTCTTTCTCTTTCTTTCTTTCCCACCAATAATAGCACTGGCTGTATTTTTAGACCAATCTGCAACAACAGTTCATGGCAACGTCTTCTCCCATTCATTGTTTTCAGACGACTTTATGAACACTAGGTGATGGGTGCAACCTACAACATGCATGGGCCTTGTGGAATGTTGAGAGAGGCCCACGGCCACCATGGCATCCACGAACTCCAGATCTGCTCCAGACAGCTACATCTCCACATATATGCTGAAGTCCTACAGAAGCAAAAGTCTGGGGGAATCTCAACCCAGCAGTGGAGACATATTCCAGCAGTTGTGGTAGAGTGAGTGAGCGAGCGAGTGAGTGAGTGAGTGAGTGAGTGAGTGTGTGTGTGTGTGTGTGTGTGTGTAAGCAATACATCAACGTCAGTCCCATTCTGTCTCAATGGTGCAGCATGAGATAAGACATTCCAAGCTCATGACAGGAGGGAAAGCCTGCTGAAATTGATGGAATTTTTGCACACTACATCAACCCCTCCCTGCCCTTCTAAGATGCCATGACACTAGACTGAATATTCAAGGGGGGGTTCATAATTGGGAAAGAGCTGCTCTCCCTTCTTCTCCCACCCAGGTTTGAGTTATACATGTCAAGCTGGCCTTTTCAATTTCTGTCAGACCTAATACTACTTATTTTGAACCAATCTGGCATTTAATAGCAACCGATGCAGATCAGAAGGTTGGCTGATAAGGTTACCTCAGTTCTGCTAGCTGAGAGCAGGATCTGAGCATGGAACAGATATTAAGTACCTGGAACATGTTATCCTGTAATGGCCTGTCCTCCACCCAATGTGATTTCTCTCCCCACCCATCACAACCAAATTTTGTCCATGAAGAGATATGCGAAGTAAAATAAATTGAACCACTAATAATTACCCAATTTCCCTTTATCCCTTCCTCAGCACCAAATGTAGCCCATCTCAGTTCAACAAACTGAAATGGCCCCTTTACAGCATGTAAGGACCCATAAAGAGGGGGTTACACTGCAAATTAAATTAATTTAAGTAAGTCAATAAAGCTACAGAATATCAATATTTTCTGGAACATCCTTCACAAAAGCTACCTGTCCCTCACAGTCCTTGATGTTATAAATTATGACACCTAAGGAGTCTAAAAGAGCTAATATTAGGAACCACACTTTCTTGGTCATGGCCTTTTCTCTCTGGAAGAAGCCTTCTTCAGAGATTGACCAGGTAGGTTAGTTCATTTAACCACTGACCCGAGGTGCCCAAATTTGTTTGAAATTTAATTCTATTTAAATGCAAGTTCTTAAAACTGGTAACAGGGTTTTATTGTATACTGTAATTTTGTAATTTTGTATTGTTGGTTTTAATGATGATTTGCCATGTTGTGAACCACCCATAGAGTGTTCACACTAATAACAGAATACTGTAACTGGGTTGGAAGGGGCCTATAAGGCTATCAAGTCAACCTCCTGCTCGATGCAGGAATACAAATCACAGGATATCTGCCAGGTGGTTGTCCAATTTTCTCTTGAATGCCTCCAGCGTTGGAGTGCTCACCATCTCTCGAGGTAATTGGTTCCATTATCGTACTGCTCTAACAGTTTTCCTGATATTCAGCCTAAATCTAGCTTCCTGTACTTTGAGCCCATTATTATGTGTTCTTTACTTGGAAATGATAGAGAACAAATCCTGCCCCCTCATCTGGATGACTACCTTTGAAGCATTTGAAAACTGCTATCTTCTTTTCTCAAGGCTAAATGTGCAAAGTTCTTCCAGTCTTTCTTCATTGGGCAGTATCCGAGTTGAAACAATAAATAAATGCTCCTCTAGATGTTGTTTGGACTGTCACTCACAGCACTCCTCACCACTGGTTAAGCTAGCTTAGGTTGATAGGAGACATAACCCATAAACATGTGGAAGGTCACACATTTTTCAGTCCTACCCTATCTCTCTCTTCACAAATACAGTAAAAGGAAGGTCAAAATGTGTAATATCCAGTTCTGGCTAATGTAGATTAGAAAATCCCCACCTGCTGGAATTAAGTTAATTCCACAGCTATCAAAGCCCCAGGAAACTTGCCATCTGTTCCTCTGACCTATAGCTCTTGCCTTCTGGAGGTTTTATCACAGCCACTTCCCCCATTTGTAAATACTCAGATTTGTCCACATCACCATGTTTGGTACAAAGTCTCAGAGGAAAGAGGTCACATAAATTCATCCACCCTCCTGGCTAGCACACAGTTAGCAGCTGTAGTCCAAGAACATCTGGGGGTAGACCTCAGCCACATGTCCTTGGCAGGACTCTCACAGTCATCCTCTTCCTAACACACTCTGGGCTTACTAGGCCAACCAGGGATGAAGGACAGATAGATGGGCAAGCAGAACTTTTCCAGCACCATTGTGGCTTGCTGATGGGTGAGCAAAGCAGCACACAGGCAGACAGAAGAAACAGGCACAGCTTCCATTCATCCATCGTCCCCTGCCCTCCAGGTAGTGACGTTGCTGGATATGAACTTTACTGCAGCTTCCTGATGCGCCAGTCAGAGACAGACAGGGAACAGAGGCAGCTCCATGGAGCCACCACAAACTCCACTTGCATTTCTCTCAAAGCAGAGCAGCAGCTAGGAATGGGCTCACTAAGCACAGCCCTCCTCACCGGTGTACTTCCCACAAGGAAACACAGAGGTGTATGTGGCCGAGAGGAGGGCCTGGCTCAGTTCACTCATCTCCGGTCCTTTCATTGAGAGTTTCAGTTTGTGTCTGCTAGCCCCAAAGATGTCCACCTCAAAAGACAGACAAAAATGCAGTCCTTTACATGGATGCAATGGTTCCTTATATGCTAATTCTTTGCTTGTTCATCCTTTGCTGCCTTGCACACTTGGCTTCTCTTTGTTTGTGGCACAGCAAAGAAGAGTGGGCAAAGAAGAGTGGGCCCTGTACCGAAAGATCCCAGTCATGAGCATAGAGGTTGGCAAGAGGAAGAAAGCACCACACTTGGCTCCGGAAGGCCTGCTCCCTAAGGCGGATCCACAAATTTCCCCAACTCTCCCTTATGCATTTGTACCGAAAGCTGCCACAATTATTTTAGCAACTCACCGAGAGAACCCTACAAGTACCCTTCAATCATAATAAAATAAATGACTAACCAACTGCTGCCCTTTCGTGACGATCCAAAATTGGTTTACTATGTCTAATGGCAGGACCTGCACCAGAAACAAGCAGAAGGAGCCAGTTCCTCTCGTGCTCTATTTCTGAGTGGCACAGCAAGAAGTTCCAGCATTTACCAGAGAAAGTACTACTCTCACCACTGCGCTTTCCCAGAGGAAGAGTCAAGGTGAGAAAGTAAGAGTTGGTCGCAGCCTCCTGGGCTGTGATGACTACTGGAAGAAGATGGATGAGCAACTGATGAAGGCAGTGAGAGGCAGCTTCCTTCTCTCTCATCCTGCCTCTGGGAAACATGGAAACTGAGATCTGGCTCAACAGGGAATAACTGGGAATAGGATCCAGTGGGTCCTGTTTCGTGTAGAGCCAAAGAACCTTTGGCTCTTCAGATGTTTGGGGACTAAAACTCAACAAGCCCTCATCATTGGCCAGAGGCTTCTGGGAGCTAAACCCCAAAGTAGATGGAAGGATGCAGCAGAGAGACAAAGGCTTCTGGGAGCTAAATCCCAAAGTAGATGGAAGGATGCAGCAGAGAGCTCTACACCATCCATAGGGAGAAAGTAAAAGCACTGATGAGTGAACGGTTCCCACCTTTATCTCTCTCTCTTTTCCCAGGTGGCATGCATGGCACAGCTGCAAGGAGCAGACATTTACCACTCACCTGCCTTCTCCTCTGCACTGGGCATGATAACCTTCTAGGAAAAGGAAAGGGTTGATGACCAAGCAACATTCATTTTGGCAAGTGAACCAAAATGAGTATCACCTGCTCTGCCCTTCTATAACTGTGGGAAGGTAAGGGAGGGGCTAAAGAAAAAGAATGGGCACCTGAAGGATGCCAAGGAAAGGAACCCCTTCCACAGACACCTGAAAGGGGTCAAAACCTGCCCAAGGACAGGTGCAGGCATCATTAGGTTTAGCAGGCACACTGGCTGCAGCAGGACCTTGGGAAGTGCGAGACCTCATTGGGACGATCCCCATAGGCACCCAAGCCCATAAGAAAAGCCAAACCACGGACTTCACAGGCTTGGCACACGTCAACAACCAAGGAGCAGATCTTTTGTTAAGTCAATGCCTCTAAGCTGTCCCTTCAAGGCCACATCGCTCCAAAACACCTAGCACACCAAAAGATACGGTTTTCCTCGCAATCCCCTGCTCAGTATATTGGTGCGATCCTCGTCTGCTCCAGCTACGGTGAGGATCGCAGCTACCCTCACATGGAAGAGGGCATCGTACCCATGGGGGTGGGGGCGACAGAGGAGGTCACGGTCCTTGCCCCCTCGGAAAAGCCCTCCTCGCGCCCCTGCCAGTCGCGGCTCCACTCCCTCCCTCCCGGGCCTTGACGGCACCTGCTCAGGGAGCCTTCCCTCCTCCCGGCCCTCCTCCAGAGGCCCCTCCAGTCCCAGCCCCTCGGCCGCGCCCGTCCCTCCGCTACCTGCCCGGGTTGCCGCACAGCTGCCGGCGGCGGCGGCGGCGGCGGGGGCCCCGCCTGG